ACCGGGTGGGGGGGGGGGGGGGCGCATGCGGGCGGTGCCATTGGGGTTCGGTGGAGCTCCCAATCAATGGGGCGGCGAAATGCTGTACTGGGTGGTGGACGACGCATGCGGGCGGTGCCACTGGGGTCTTTCTGTCGAGTTCCCGATGAGGCCACGAAGCGCTGTACTGGGCGGTGGCTGACGCATGTGGGCGGTGTCACTGGAACCGCCGGTGGAGCTCCCTGCGGGGCCACGAAGCGCTGTACTGGGTGGTGGCTGGCGAATACGGGCGGTCCCACTGGAACCGTCGGTGGATCTCCCTATGGGGCCACGAAGCGCTGTACTGGGTGGGGGCTGACGCATGCGGGCAGTGCCACTGGGGCCGTCGGTGGAGCTCCCTATGGGTCCACGAAGCGCTGTACTGGGTGGTGGCTGACGCATGCGGGCGGTGCCGCTGGGACCTTCGGTGGAGCTCCCTATGGGGCCACGAAGCGCTGTACTGGGTGGTGGCTGACGCATGTGGGCGGTGTCAGTGGAGCCTTCGGTGGAGCCCCTGTAGGGCCACGAAACGCTGACGCATGCGGGCGGTCCCACTGGAACCTTCGGTGAAGCTCTCCAAGGGGGCCACGACATGCAGTACTGGGTGGTGGCTGACGCATGCGGGCGGTGCCAGTGGGACCTTCGGCGGAGCCCCCTAAGGGCCACGAAACGCTGTGCTCGGTGGTGGCTGACGCATGCGGCCCCACTGGGGGCTTCGGTGAAGCTCCCTATGGGGCCACGAGACGCCGTACTGGGCGGGTGAAAAGCAGGGAGGAGGGAGGAGAGGAAGGAGGTGGGGGGGGGAGGAGGAGGGGGAGGAGGGGGGGGAGGAAGGAGGCGGGAGGAGAACGCGGGGCGCCGTCTCTGCAAAACGAGGAGCCAACACCACAGGACGGCTGGGAACAAGCGGAAGCTGACCAGGACGGGCGGCGACGAGGGGCCTGGACTCGGCGTTGCACTCCAGGGGGGCAGGGGGGGGATGCAGGACGCATGGGCCTCGCCCGGTGCTGCTGATGATGTTTGTAATTGCCAGGATGTCCATGGCGATGCTGATTATGACGATGATGGTGCGCATCATCATCCTGAGCGCCACCACCACCATGAACACGGCTGTCATTTTGAACTACGCTGGTTGTTCTCGTTGTCAGCACTACGCATCTGGCGCAATCGGTCGATGGCGCGGGTTCGGACCCAGGAAATGGGATAGCGCTCGCGCTGAAATCGCACGCGGCCGCGCGCCGGGCTGCCGCGCGCCCACGCCGCAGTAGCCATGCCCATTTCTTTTGGGCAAAGGTCACGGCTGTGAACGCTCATGATCAGCACCTCGAAGCCCGCGCTGTGGCTGGCGATGCGCAGCGTCGCGACTGGGCCAGGTGCAGTGGCAAGGAGCTGGCAGGATACTTTTGACCTTGATGCAGTTGAAGAAGAAAGCAGCAAGGCAATTCCAACTTTGCCTCCGTTGCCCCCGCAGCCATTGGAGACGACGTCGTAACGACCAGCATGCTTGGCCACATTCGATGCCAAGTCCCGCTGAGAACAATGGACGCCCTGCAGGACAACGGGCGCTCTCTGGGAGTTTCTTCAAGAGGGGAGGAGCAGACGCGTCTTGGCCCATCGCTTCCGATGCCCATGACAGAGGAGGCCTCTGGGGCATCCTCCCCGCATTCCAGGTGGCCAGTGGAGGCCTGCAGCAACGCTGCAAGCGCTGGCGAAGTGGAAGACAATTCAGGCTGCGTTGAAAGAGATATCTTAAATGGGGGAGACGTAGTAGATCTGGAATGAGACTATGACGGAGGGCTCGATGAGCCCAACAAGACGCGCTCCATGGGGCAAAGGACTCCGACGATAAGCGGCATTCGTGAGAAGCACGACCCCCGCGCCCTCTTGCTTGGAAATGCCCGCCCCATGGCTAGAAATGCCCTTTCCAATTTCAGGGGCACTGTCCACTGCGCACCCAGCATTGGAACTGCCCACCCCAAGGTTAAAAGCGCTCATCCAAACGCCAGGAGCGCGACCCACTGCATACTCACAAAATCTCCACCCCGCGGCTGGAAGTAACCGGCCCATGCTCAGGCACACGATCCTGTTCAGGGAAGAGAAGATCCTGCACGTGCGGGCGCAGGCCTGACCAGCGAAGTTGCGAGTGTCCCGCATGTTCCCCAGCTGGTGTTTGATGCGAGGCGTTCGGCCAGGCGCAGCAAGTGGATGCTCGCAGCTCGCGCTCAGAAGGCTGGCGGCCTAGCATGGTACTCATCGCTGTTCGCGGTCGCCCAAGAAGTTGAATCCACTGCGCGTTGCCCCCAGACTTGCGGAGAGCAGCGATCTCGGCAGCGATGGTGGCCTTTGAGACTGGAATATTGGCCAGCGCTTCCTGGGCCCACAGGATGACTGCAGCTGCGCCCATGGTCGCACTCTCCAGCCTGGCGGCGGGGATGGCGTCGCCGAAGGCGCGCCCTTGGCCGCGTCGCGCCCGCCCACTTGGGAGTCGGATAGTGGCCCTGGCAGAGCGCGAGTACCTTCTTGGCTTGGGTTGCCATTCGAATGCGGCGGAGATTCTTGTCTGTGTTGACATGGGGTGGTACGAGCTTGCCGTTGATCGCGCACTCTGTCGGCGTTTGAACATTGAACAGACGACGGCCTCCGCGCCCAGGGAGTTCAACGGCGCGCGCAAGAGCGACTGCACGAGGAGTGGCGACGCCCCGCCCTCCAATGAGCTGCAGAATGAATCTGCAATTGGGGCCTGCCCAGTGAAACTTTCACCGCTGCGCTGCAGCATCGGCACTCGCGACCAATCCCCATCAGCAAAGAGCACCGATGCAGCGGCCACTGGCTGAGAACAGGGCTGAATGACTATAGTGGGATCAGGGTCGCGGCCCCGATCGGAGAGCTTGGCCGTGCCGAGGACGACCGCGCCCCCCTTCGGAAAGGCTGTGCTGCTGGCTGATGCAGGCAATGGCGTCCCAGACTTCCTTATGTTGATATTTGCTTTGAGTCTGGACTTTCCTGATAGCCATGAGGTCTTGTTCTTGACCGTCCGGACGCCTTGTGGTATCGGCTACATGCCGGCTGAGTGCAGGGAGAAGCTGCCCTGGTGCGAAGGAGATGGTGGAGCTGACGGTGGAGGTGGTGATGTTGATTTGCAGGTGCATGGGGCGCTTGAGTTTTGCTTGATAGCCCAGTCCCAGTGAGGACGCGCCCCAGGGATCGCGAGCATGTAGTGTGTCGGCACTGGGGGCTGCGTCCGCAGGACGTCCCAGTTCTGCATCTGAGATACGGAATGTCGATACTTCAGCTGCAACGTGCTGCCCAAGTGGGTAAATTCGGCGAGCTGCATCCCAAGCTTGTTGATATTGAGTGGGAAACGTGGGGGCTTCTTCAAGTAGGCGTAGCAGTTCACGTTGCCACTTTTGTTTCTCAGCGGCTGAGTGACAGCCATCTGGGGCATCGGTTGGTTCACGCCAGCAAGGTCCAAGTGATCGACCACTTCGTCCAGGAGTTGGGGCATCCCCTTGATGATCAGGAGGGCTGGGATGTCGATCGCGTACTCTGTCTATGTCTCAAGATCGGTGACGGTCACGGTCTCTGTCGCGATCTCGCTCGCGCGGGTCTCGGTCACGGTGTTGCCCCCGTCGCAAAGCGTTCCCGTCGGTCGCGGCGCTGCGGCTCTTGCAGTCACTGCAGGAGGAGAGGCTGTCTGTGCCACTGCCCATGTGCTATATCTTAGGCTTACAAAAACACGAGACACCTGCCCGATGCCTGCGGAGGAAGAGCCACATCAACGATATGCACACGAACTGTCTGAATTAAGAATTCTGGGAAAGAGGCGTTCGCAATGTTCGAGATTATGGAAAAGAAATCACAAGCTGGGCAACCACATAATGGTCCTCGGGATATGGAACGAGGCCGAACGGCCAGCTGCCTTGGGATGGACTATTCGAGCCGATGTGGCTTGAGCCAAACTGACTACAGAGGAGGAGGAAGACGAGGAGGAGAATTAGCAGGAGGAGGAGGGACCAGTCTAACCCCCAGATTCATCAACGATGTTGGAATACACCCTCCCCCCAAGTTTCCTCGTCATAGATTCCTGCAGGAATTAAATTTCACTGAGGGAAATGCCTCGTGGGGAGACAACCGTTTGAAAGTCCGGAAGCGTGCCAAAACATCTTCCCCGTGACTTCAACGCCACGCATCAACATGAATGTTGCGAACTGACGATGCTGAATCGTGCCAGAACGCCGTTCTTGGGACCTCAACATCGCGAATCAAACGTAACGGTCGCGCCCAGATAACCCTGAATCGCTAAAACAACCATTGTTGGTACGCTGGCAAGGAGAACCCGTGAAACTTCTGAACAGTTAAAACAACGAATGTGCGCGGCGCGACCGCGAGAGCCACAGTTGTAAAGGAGCCGCCTACTGTCCGTGAACATGGCATAGATTCTACAAACGAGTGTGTGCGGCGCTGGAGCGAGAACCACATTTTGAAAAAGGAGCCGCCCTAAGTCCGCGAAACTCTTGCGAGGTTAAAAAAAGAATGCGCGCGGCGCCAACGCGAGAGCCATATTTTGCAAAAACGAGCCGACCTCAGCCCGTGAAGGACTTGCCAGTTTTTGAACCGAGAAAGCGCGGAGCTAAACCGAGACCCACATGTTGAAAACAACCCGCCCTCAATCCGTGGATCTCTTGCAAATGTTTAGAAGGTGCGCGGCGCTAAGGCGAGAGACCCATGTGGGAAGCGATCCGCCCTCCATCTGTGAAACTGTTGTCAGCGTTTGAGCTTGAGGCTCACAAGTGGTAAGGACATCTCAAGCAAAACGCTCGGCCCACCCTTCCGAATGGCTTCGGGGTGCGACAGGAGTTTTTCATAAGGAAGAGGAACTGAGGAGCTGGATGACGAGGGAGGAAGGAGGACGAAGAGGAGGGAGGAGGCGGGAGGAGGGAAGAGAAAGATCAGGAGGAGGGGCCGAAGTGCGCTGTAGGCGCCTCGGGCTCGGGTAAGGTCCCAGCATCGACCTGGGTGTTCGGGTGCTGCCGGACACGCCGGTCACCTCCCTGGAGGGCATGTTGCGGATGATTCCGAGGACGCGCGTGGGGTCCTTGGCGGCGTGCTTCGATCCCTCCTCACTCGTCCCCTCCTCCCGCCTCCCTCCTCCTCATCCCCTCCTTTCCCCTCGCTCCTCCCCCTCCGTCCTTTCTCCACCTTCCACCCAGCCGCCGTCCTCCCGCTTCCTTTTCCCTTCCCTCCTCCTTCCACCCACCCTCCTCCCTCCTCCGTCCTTATCACCCCCACCTCCCTCTCCCCTTCTTCTTCTTTACTCTTCCCTCTCCCATCCCTCGTCGTTCCTCTCCCCCGGCCACCCGCCCACTCACTCTCTCTCCTCCGTCCTCCCTCTCCCCTCCCCGCTCATCCCTCTGGGTATCGCACCACCCTGCTGAAAAGAAACCAAGCCAAAGGTCCACATCACCTGAACATCGACTATTTCGAGGCATCGGCCCCCATATATATATATATATATATATATCTATATATATATATATATGTATAGATGTATGCAAATATATGTATATATATATATATATATGTATGTCAACCCTTTCCCTGGGACTTGCGTCGTCATGGGTCGTTTCTCTTGACAGAAAAGAATGAACAAAGCGTCGTCTCGATTTGTTCAACATGGCGGCTGTCTAGGTCCCTCCATCTCTTCCTTCCTTCTCCTCCTCCTCCTCAAAGTGCAGAACTTTGAAGAAGATGGATCAGATTTCGAACTTGACTTGCAAGTTCGAGCCCCGACCTGACCATGAGCGCGCTCTGGCCAGTACTCCGATGGAGGATCCGGCCGTGGCGACGAAAGGACTCCGGGAGGGCGACAACGAGCAACAAAAGCAACAATTGCTTCTCGAACCTCGATGCCCAAGCATCCGCTGGATCGATTTTCTCAGCCCGCGAACCACACGAGTCTGAACCCTTCCCTGGTGGCTATCTGTTCCGTCCTGGGCCATTCTGTGATGGTCACGGGCCCGATGACGGCCCCAGGAGGTCTATGAATACACGAAGAAAGGATGATTGAACAAGGCCACCCGCTAGAAATCTGGATTCCCACCGCCCTCCCCCTGGCCTCAGATCGATCTGTCCGATCGGGCAGGCCCGGTCCGCCACCAGAAAACAATTGAAGGCCCCGTCGACCACACCGTCTGCGATCGACGATCGGCGGCGGCGGAAACGCACGTCCCGTCTTCTGCTCCCTCCTCCTCTTCCTCGTCCTCCTCCTCCTGCTCCTCCTGCTCCTCCTGCTCTTCCTCATCCTCCTCCTCCTCCTCCTCCTCCTCCTCCTTCTCCTGCTCCTCCTGTTCCTGCTCCTTCTCCTCCTCCTCCTTCACCTCATCCTCATCCCCTTCCATCTCCAATCCTTGTCCTTATAAATCAGCCGTTCAAAATGGGTGGGCCTGGCGTTTCGCCAGAGTTTTCTTCACCATGTATGACCCTGAAGCTGAGAAGCTGACAACAGCTTCACAGATGGAGGGCGGGTCGCTTCCAAAATGTGGCGCTCGCCTTAGCACCGCGCAAATCCGTTTTAACAATTGCAAGAGCTTCACCGATCGAGGGCGGGTTGTTTTCAACATGTGGCTCTCACCTTAGCGCGCACGCAGCCCTTTTAAACATGTGCAACGAGCTGCTCGGATTGAGGGCAGGTGGCTTTCGAAATGTGACTCTCGCCTGAGCGCCGCGCGTATTCGTTTTCACAACGTGCCCAAGCTTTGCGGATAGAGGCTGGTCCTTTGGAAAGTGGGTTCCTTTTGGAAGTGCGGTCCTCGCCTCGGCGCCGCGAATACTCGTCTTACGAATTTGCGTGCCAGACACGTTGTTTCGGAAAGACTCAGGATTGTGAGGGCGCAACAGTTACGCTGATTCACGGTGCTGAAGTCTTCGGACAGGCGTCCTGGCGCGATTCAGGATCGTCAAGACGCATCAGTCGTGTTGATTCGTGGTGTTGAAATCCCGAGAATGGTGTTTAAGCGCGGTTCAGAGTCTTCAAACGGTTGTCTCCCAACTCTCTCTTACTCCTCCTGCTCTTGCTCCTCCTGCCTCCTCCTCCTGCCTCCTCCTCCCTCCCCCCACTTCCTCACCACTCTCCTCCTCCATCTACTTGTCCTCCCCCCTCCTCACTCTGTACCACCCCCGAACTTCCCAATCAGTTCCTCCTGCTCCTCATGCTCCTCCTGCTCATCCTCATCCTCCTTCCCCCCTCCGTCGTCATTCACCCTTCCCTTGTCCTAATTCCCTCCCTGCCTCGTTCCTCCATCCTCTTCCTCCTTCTCCTTCTCCTTCTCCTTCTCCTCCTCCCCGTCCTCCTCCTCCACCTCGCCCCCTGTTATGATCCCTACTCTTTATGTGTGAAGCCTCCTACCCTGCCACATACCCAGCCAGCGCCGATCTGGGACGCCCCACCCCACTGGAGAAAACAGCGCATCGTCGACTTGCGTGCTCATATCAGCATGGGCGTGTGGGCGTCGACGCTGCCAGCTTTGTGGATCCGCGGGTCGAGGGCGCACCTCTTCCAGTCGAAGCTCAGCGGGCCGCGCGAAGCTTGAATTGGGCAGAGAAGCGGAGGGGGGAAGCGGCGGAGCCCCAGAGCGAGGCCGAGAGGGGGCAGAGCCTCGGATACGGGCGGTGCCGAAGCCGAAGTTCAGCAAAGAAACGACGCTGCCAGAGGCAATGGCAGGGGTGGGACGGGACGCACCTCTCGCGCGCAAGGGCGAAAAACGTCGCTCTCGCCTCGGCGCCGCGCTCACGCCTCCCGGAAGCCGAGCTCCTCCTCCTCCTCCTCCTCCTCCTCCTCCTCCTCCTCCTCCTCATCCTCCTCCTCCTCCTCCTCCTCCTCCTCCTCCTCCTCCTCCCCTCCTCCTCCTCCTCCTCCTCCTCCTCCTCCTCCTCCCCCCTCCCCACCTCCTCCTCCCCAACCTCCACTTCCCCTCCTCCTCCTCCTCCTCCTCCTCCTCCTCCTCCTCCTCCTCCTCCCCCCTCCACCTCCTCCTCCTCCTCCTCCTCCTTCCTGGACGCGGCGCCCGCTTCTCGCTCGCCAGAGACGTCGTCGACGAGCGACGGGCGACAGCGTCGCACTCGCCTGGGCGCCACGGGGACGCCTGCCCGAAGGTGCGCTCCCCGCCACGCCGCGGCGCAGGCCTGCCCCTCGCGTGCCCAGGTCGCCCGCGGGCGGGGCGCGCGGCGGGAGCCGGCGACGCGCCGCCCCCCCGACGCGGCGGTGCCGCCTCGTCGCGGCGCGCGCCTCCCTCGCCGAAGCCGCGCGGAGCGGCCGCGGCAGCGGGGCCGCGCGAGAGCGGGCGCTGCGCAGTCCGCGCCCGGGCGCCGCGCGGCGTGCGAGCGCCAGCGGCGGTGCTGTCTCCGACAGCCCCAGCAAGACCACCCCGACCCCAACCCGAAGGCCCGAATTTCGGGCTGGGGGGGGGGGGGGGGCGGGTTCCAGACGTGTTTTTGTCAGTGCTCCCCGATCCCCCCCCCTCCAACTGGAAACGGAGGGCAGAGTGAGGCCGTCGGGCTGGGTGGGGGGTGGTCTGGTGGGTGGTGAGTCTCGTCGCGCCGCGCGCCTCGCCCTCGCCGCGCTCCTCGAAGGCGCTGCCGCCCGAGGGAGGGCCGAACCCTGCGCTCGCCGCAGCGCCGCGCCGGGACTTGTTGAGGTTCCGCTCCCGCCCGTCCGCGGCCCGCGCGTTTGCCCGTCGCCCAGGTCGTCGGGAGCGGGACTGCAGTCAACCCGCACAGTAAGGATGGGCAGCCTTCCCAAGGGTACCCTTGCATCCTTGCCTCCTCGGTCCATCCTTCGCCGCTTTCGTCGGCCGCGCCCCGCTCGAAAAGGTTCGAGATGGGCGTCCAAGGCCCTTGCATCCTTCTCGCGCATCCTTATCGCACGGGCTGGCTGTAGATGAGAACGCGCTCCAGTCTAAACATCAAGTTGTGCCGACCTTGATTCTCATGTTGTGAAGGGAGGGGTGGGAATGTGCGGGGCCCGCTGGCTTCATCGGCCTGGCTGGCTTGACCCTCCCCTTGCTCCTCCCCCGTCTCCTGCTCTCCAGCCGTTCCTTTCGTAAGCTTGCCGCGGCGCCCCGCAGCTCACGAGCTCTCTGAGGCCAGCCTGGGAGCGGCGATGCCCAGAGGAGTCCTCCCCAGTTCGAGCTCGTGCAGCGAGGGCAGCTGGCGTGGGGAGGATGGAGGAGCAGATTCGAGTTTCGTGGCGCTTCGCCCCTCAACGCTACAAACTCAGCTCCATAAGTGTGCCGCAAAGCAGCAGGCGCGGCACTGTACGAATGGCCCCGCGGCCGACGGCGGGCGCGCGCCATGTCGTAGGGGTCAAGAAAGGCATGGAAGCCAAACGTTCTCGGCTTAGGCATGCTCGAGAAGGGCCACCAGTGGCAACAACAGTGCAGGAGCGCACGCCACCCCCCGATATTTGGGACACGAACCCGGAGCCAGAAAAGCGCCGCGACAATGGAGTGAACAGCGCATGCGAGAAAGGAGGACGGTGGAAGCAAAACGTCATCAGCTGCACAGCTCCAGCCAGCGCGCGCGAACAAGGCATGCAGTGGCAGCTTATAAAGAGTGAGAAAGCCTGACGGTGCCAGCCACTGCCGCGGATATGGCAAAACGGGATTTGGGACTCTGGTCCGGAGCCAGACGTCAACAGCGGCACTAGGGGCTGCAGCGCGTGCGAGAAGCCTGACGCAGCTCAGCGACACCGAGGAGCCAAAACAGCGGACAGTGGCAGCGAGAGCGAACACCTCTCGATGGGCTTTGGGGCACAAATCGTTAGCCAGCCGTCCTCAGCTACATTGTCAGGATCTGCGCGTATTGAAAAGAGCATTGGCAGAAACTACCGCCTGTCAAGAGCTACCCTGCTCGGAACTGCGCGTGCGAAACAATGGGCCAGTTGAAGCAAGGACCACTATTGCCCCGTGAACGTCGGGATCTGAAC